TAGGTGACTCGAGATGATTGGCTAAAGAGGACAAGGGTAGCACTCGACTGATGAAACCGTCAAGTTTGAAACAAGTGTATCGGGCTCTAAAGTCGGCCCTTATATAACAGACTGCAAGCGTCGCTTAAAAAATGATTTTCAGGCATATTGAAATTTGAGCGCAGTCTCAAGAAAACACCGGAAACTAAGGATTTTAACAAAGCTATGTAGCACGATTACTATTGTTATATATTACAATTCATCATTACCAACACAAAAATCACAACACTGCTATGAGTTGAACATGAGAATATAAACTTTTTTTTGGAACGAAATAAATATTGAAGATATGAACACGACGTCGATGTACTTGAAGTACAAAACAAAGGTACAAATTATTAGAGCAATGACGGAACGACTTTCAATCACAACTTATCAACAGAACTCCGATTCAGGTGCACTCCATACCCGCGGTTGCTCTCCTTGATGGTACACTGGCTTTGGTCTACTTTGCTTGAGAAAAAATTGGTTAGCCTATATTGATAATCTAACAAACAGTAACACGTAAGGAGATAAGTATTTCATCAGCGTTCGAAATGTATTTCTTGAGTGCTTTGTAAATGCGGCGCTCTCGCAGCTCTCTGACTAGGCTTTTGCGTAACCACGTAGGATTCGGGCTCCAGTTTTCGTGCTAGGAATTCGGAAACGGATTACGAGCATAGGCTTCATGAGCAGGCACAAGGTTTGGGCTGCGAGTTCAGGATAACGAATCCCGTACTCGACTGAAAGTTACGTGATGGATTTTGAGAAAAAAATTCTATCAAGTTAGTGAAAAGCTTTACCAAGGCATTTCATTAAATGCAACAAAACACATTTGAAACAAATTTAGAATTATCGCTGGAAATGCTAATATAAAATAACACAAAGTTCAAGACACAAACTAGCATAATTTGTCAAAATAGCAGACTGGCCCATAATCATGACCGTAGAATAGTAGTAGACGCTAAACATGCCATAGAATAGGATAGGAGGAAATCTAATCTTTCGGTCTAAATTGCACATATTTTCATCGATTTGAACTTGCGATGTACTGAAGAGAATGCATCTTTTAAGATGCACCACTACAAAAGTGGCTGTTAGTAAGAGCAAATGTAGGATTATGAATGTAATCAAAGATACATCTCACCAAAAGCTTATGCATTGTCTTGATTGTTACATGTTCTCCGTAAATTAGAAAATAATGATGAGTAGCATATTGGCGTCGATTTATTTGAACAACTAAGAGCCTGGATAGGACGACTGCGGCTGAAAAGATGCAGGAAAGGCACTCACAACATTTAGTCGGTATTCGCAGGAGAGATCTTCAACAACTCTTCAACATCTTTGAGATTCAGAGAAAAATACATCGTAAATGGAACTCAGATGAGCCGATTTCATAATTAGAAGAACAGATGACAATAGACGAAAATAACAGTGGAGTAGGCATCAAGGAAATGTAAAGGTTTCTTAGAAGACCATCCGATGAATAGCCGGCGTGTTACGGTCTCGCATAAGTCACCATGCTCGACATGGACCTGAACCCATAAAGAATAGTCGCGTGGGGGAAAATTGTAAAGTATGCTGGATCTTGCACTACTAGCTAAGAAGGGCCGCCGAAGTATTCCAGCATTTCGTCAAAGGCCATGTCTTCATACTTTTATACAAAGTGAACCTTTTCAAAATCTAACACACTCTTTTGTCAATGAATCAGCTCTCCTTTCCGAAATCCGACGCTCTATGTCGTCGGTTAAGAACAGAACAGCACTTGGTGCAGAGAGGATATCAGGAGAACATCTAAACAACTTTCCGTCAGTCCTGCTTAGCCCATGGCTCAGCTGTTTACTTGTTATATTTCAAAGTTCCTAAATAATGTAAAGCAGCGAGATCGTTTCTTCGAGAATAAAGGCCTTTATGATGCTGGGAACAATCGCCCTTCTTCTTTTCGTCCGTCATATGTAGTTTCTTCACTTGCGTCATCATAATCATGATTAACAGATCATTAGACGAGGGACCACCATTCGAAAAACAGGAATTTCAAAAGTACATGGAACTAGAGGCCACAGCCACACGTAACAGGTCTCAATAGATCAATAGATTCACGAGAAAGAAATAAGACCTCTCTCACCTTCATCGATTTACAGAAGACCTATCAGTTAGTCGGAACAGAAGCGATTATAAGAGCTCCCAAAAGCCAGGGCTTTTCTACAAAATGCGTCGAGATTCTTCCTGAGATGTATGTAGAATTTAATCGCAAGATATAACCATCCTATAACGACATTACTACCGACTTAGAAAAAGAAGATCGATAAGGCGATATCATGCTGCCTAAGTTATTCATTGCTACACCTCAAAATGCATGTGAACATTAGAAATGGCACAATTTGGGAGCGAAAATCGACGGCCAACTATTGTGCTATTTTCGCTTTGCTAATGATGTCTTCCTCATAACATTAGGCATCAGACAAAAAGAATAAATGCTAACCGATTTCTATAACGTTTGTGGAAAGATTGGTTTTCTATCAAATTTAACGAAAACGATGCCTATAAGGAACGGATGGACTTTGAAAGCCCCATTCACGCTCAACGATTTGAATATCCTTGAACTCTTCGTTTACATCTACCTAAATCGTAAGGTCAACATGATGGACGACCTAGCTCTAAAGTTGAGCAGGAGGAAACGAGTGACCCGAGGAGCGTTTAAAATTATCGGAAACGTAGTATAAGACGACGGACATCCGGTTCACTCAATGTCTACCTATGCGGCTCAATGGTTGACCATGCCCTAACGCAAGCACCAGAAACGTGAACAAGATAAAAAATCACACGGCGTTTCTGAACGCGCAGTTGGAATTTCGTCGCTAGGTGTGTCACTTATCTCTGAAATGTGAGAAAGGTTTCAAAGATTGGGCGAACCTTAACTATCGCAAGTCAAAGATGCCGTGCTGAAGTGGTGTGTTATGGCACTTATAAAGTGCTCGTCACATGTTTCGTCCTTTCAGTCGCATCAGTAGCACAGTGCCTTTTCTTTGAGCCAATTTCTTGCGAAGGAATATACCCCTCTACATATAAAGGAACTGATGACCAGGATGTTACACTGTACGTGTGTCAAATGAACAGGATCATTAGATAGTAATCTTGTACAAGGTTGGTTAATTTGATGATACCGTAACCCTAAGAGACGACAAATGCCACCTGAGGTACGCGATTGTTTCAAAGCCTTTCTCGTTGCATAAAATCTTTTTCTTAGACACTTGGTAATTATTTAAAAACAAAAGTTTCTGCGATTTCAAGGACATGTTTGATTTCTAGACAAGTCTTCTTATTGCGTTGCAGGAGCCAAAACAAAATTATGTTTCACACTAAATTTTCTTCATTTGCTTAGTTGAGGCTTCGATATGGGTCTTCACTAAAGTTTTATTAATTATTGAAAGCTCAGGTTTTAAGGATTCGGTGGTGCAAACTGTTTTTTGAAAGGTGATCATAAAACGGTGTAAGAGCGAAAGGAAGAACACATCTCACGCCTAAAACGCTACTCCGCCGCTTGGACGTCATAGGTGATTCTTTAGCATTATGTGAAGTTTATAAGTCGGAGGTATTCTATCATTACATAAAATATGAAATATCATAAAGAAGCCTTTTATAGAAGTTTTTGATGTAAAGAAAAATTGCTTCTCCTGAATTCCTTCATTTTATTTGGCAGCAGTTATACGACGTTTTTGTAAAAGGTAACTAAACTTTCAACCCCCATTTAGCATTTGTATCGATTATCTTGCGAGAATGTAGCTTGAAAACACATCTTCTACAATGATACATTTCTAATAAAGGTTTATGTGGAGGCAAGTCAAATAGCTCAAGTAAGTGTAAGAAGAGCGCGTTCATCATTGCGTGTAATACGGTACTTCTCCTCTCAGCACTCATATTCAAAAAAGATTACTTTCCGCTCCTTTTAGACATTTCAGCAGCAATTTATATAGCCTAAATCTTAAAAATTTGAAAGATGTGTTTTATTTTTGGGAGGTCTTTTTATTACGCTGTAACAGTGGAAAGGAAATGTCATCTAACACTGAAATATTGCTCGATAAGCAAAGTGTTCCCTCAAAAAAATTTGGCAATTCTTTGATTACACAAATCTCCGCAAATTGGTTGCATTCTTGACCCTTTCAAAAAATCTCTTTACTGCGCTGCAACACTAAAATTGACAATGCATTTCACGTATGGTGCGTAGGCCTTCCACCGGTTGTTTTATTATTTGACACCTAAAGTATAGTTTGAGCCCTGAACGTAGGGCTGGGTACTCACGGGTAATTTAGCAGTCTCTCCTGGAGGAACAGGAAAAATTGATTGCTGTAAACGACTCAACCGTCTTGCATGCACCATTCACCCGCTAATTCCAAGCTTTGGTTAATTTGACTCTTGACATAAAGTAACTTCAGATTGAGGCAGCAAATACGCAAAAGAAAAGTATCTTCTTTGATTACACCTGAGCCTCCGCCAAGCACACCTGGGGACGTACTGCGTTTTCTTCCAACTAACCGGACAGATTATGTAACGTAAAAAATCCTTGCAAAAACCTATCAAAATACTGCTCGCAAAGGTCGAAGTATGAGTCGGTAACAAGAAAATCTAACGTTGTAAAGTGATTCAACTAGCATCGCCATCATATAATATTATTCATTTCGTAAAAAAAACGTGCCACTTTCATTTACATTTTTGGTACCGATTTCTGGAGGAAAATTTATCCCAAGCGGAGACTTTCCATTGCGTCTTTAGCAATAGATAGAGGTATAGGTTATTGTCTTAAGCATCCTTTTTTCTCTTGTTTACTCCTATCCTCCTCTTCTTCATCGGTTGTGATCCGTGCCACTCATGTAACAGATAGAACACTACTCATTGTTGATCATAATCCCTTTTATTTGACCTCCACTTGCGGTTTTATGGTGTTAAAATATGCTCACTAGTAGAGAGTGATGTGCAAAAACATTTGCGTCAGCCCGGACTCGAACCCAGACCTCACTCTTTTCGGGAACGTATACTGAATCGTTGCATTACTGACGCCCATTTGCATACCACTCTTCCTACGCTACAGCGCTATAAGGTGCTCACATAACTCTACATCACTGTGTACATTGGCAACATCATATCACCGCTTGCAGGGCACCCTTCTGTCAATGCTAAGCTATTAGATTAATTAATGTTTTCGCCTTTTTTGAAATTATTTTGTCTAAAAAAGGAGTCCATTTGTTTGTTTTACTATAAAAAGTGCTGCGAGATGTGTCAAGTTCGAAGGAAAATCAATCAATTCTGAATATCCGCGGTATTCGTATGGCCGCCACATGAACGATAAAGAGAACTCATAGCGATGCTTATTAAGTTCCTGAGCTAATGTACTACAAATAATAAAGGGCTGAATCCTTGGCGTTTGTCCATCCATAAGGATTTCACCATACATCCGAATTCTCTAGATAGCATAGATGTTGTGAAATACTACTGCGCTTTATGAGAATCGATGCAACATTTCCATACGAATCAGTGTTTCAACCTCTCAAAGTATTCGATGTAAATTTCCTCAGCGTGAATTGACGTTAGTTCAGTTTAGCTGCAGCATTAAAGTGGACTAACAACAATCACTGTATTTTGAAACAGCGCAGTCAAAATGTGAAATAGCTAGAATTTTGTGACACTTTTCCGTGAAAATGGTATCTTTTGTGCTTACAAAGCAGTTAGGTGCTTTTGATTTTCTCGTTTGATCAGAGGTATTTCATTTTTTACGTATCTCACGTGCATGAACAGTCGAGTGTAGACCACTGCCCATTCAGTGATAATTTCATTCCATGGACGGCGTAAAATGTTCGCCTTCCCCAAGCTTTAGAGAGAAGCGCATGATTCTAATACTACGGAAAATTCTCTACACGCTGATATATTTATCGTGCTTTCAGCGTTTTATACTCGTGGAAAAATAAAGGCGAAGAAGCAGTGAGAAACTAAATTTTACTCTGGATGCTATAGCGTAATAAAGGAATGCTTCGCAAAACTGGCAACGCCGAGTTGTAGTCAAAGATATGAGCTTTCGAGTGATTACTAACACTTCTATAAAATATTCGTGTCGAGCGAATGAGATCGCGTATAAACTTGTCGCCGTCTAACATATAAGTGCCAAAATACTGACTTTTATCTTTAATAGATCCAAGTCACGCGTACCTCAGTAGCTCAATCGCGCTTTCAAGGAATAAGATCACATACCGGAAAAACTGATCGGCTGTGACGTATTAAATTTGCGTAGTGACGTAATAAATGCAAAATTGGAACCGTCACAAAACGACCTTGCATATTTCAAAGGAGGGGATAGCGATATTTTTCTGTTAGCCAGCAACAAATGAGTATCCGACCTCATTCGCTGAACAAGAGTTTTTCATAGGAGTGTTAGCAGTCATGCGAACGCTCAAAGCTCTGGCCAGGCCCGTACGTGGCACTTAACATAAGACCCTTATATAACGGTGTAAAATCCAAAATAAAATTATGTTTCACAAAACCACGCGTGTTCTTTCTTCCTATCACGATTATGTTTAGTTGGACAAAACTCCTTCTCTACACTATTAATACTTTTTCGATAGCACAAGTCTCGATTAACTATAAAATGTGTTTGCTATTTGGAAAAGCTCCTTTGCATCGAATCTCGACGGACAGAGCCCTTTCTTTAGTCTATTAGTGGTCAATCGATAGCGTAAGTTTCAATGATTCCAAGGCTGCATAGACCTTCTGAGACAGCCGCTTCACCGCAGTCTAGCGGAGAAAACTAGAACGAGTTTCACATACTTACCGAGCTTGTTTAACGGGTAATCTACGCGTTGGGTGGAGGATCGATCGATGGTCCAAAATGTTGACATGTGGGATGCAACTTGTTTTTCGACTGAGAATTTTTCTCTGCTTTGGGAGAAATCCCAGACAAAACGATTGGCATAATTGCTGTGAAATATTCTCTACACGCTCATATGCTTTTTGTGCTTCCAGTGATTTAGACGCGGGATAGAAATAAAGGTACGTGGCGAGTCGAAACATAATTATTTTCGTGCTTTATAGCGCTATGTAAAGTTGCTTAGGAAAGCCGGCCACGCATGGTTTTAGCAAGAGATTTAAACTTTTGAGAAAGCACTAGCATTCTTATAAAAATTCTTGCCTAGCAAATAAGTTCGCATATTATTTGTCGCCGTCATGCAGAAAAGAACCAAGAAAACCTTGGCTTTATCCAAGGTAAAGAATGCTCGAAAAGAGGTCGGCATCATGACTGCGCATTGTTACTTTTGCAGCCTTATGAACTCGAGGAGTGAATACTCTAACATCTGTGGTCGACCAGTTGTTTCTGATTTGGATACCACGCTGAATTCTCGCGCGCCATGCGGACCACTCGACCAGCTGGAGGATCTCGTTTGAATGATAATGTTGAAATTTTTTAGCGGAATCTCAATTTATAGTGGCAAAACAAGAGATATGTGAACAACTAAAATAGAATATGATTGACGAGACCTCAATGAATCTGTCGATCATAGAAATAACGCCAACAACATGACGATCAATTGTTTGTCAAGATTTAAGTTTTTAATTGCTGGTACATTGAATACTCTTCTTCACAAGTGTTTGTATACCTTGTTGAAAGAAATTGTTATAAACTGCACTTCACTAATAAACTACCGTTATCATATAATCACCGTTATCATTTGGTGATGTAAATCTCTCGCTGAAACATAGGAAATACAGACGTATTATGGGTCATATAAATGCACTTCTGATAAAAAATATCTCTTTAAGAGTGTTTTCAGTGTAATTTCATCTTTCCATGAAGATAGTGCTCTCTGAAAGCCTGGTTCGCCTCCTTACATCTATCATGCTGTCTACGTCTGTCTTCCCACGCGATGCGCCGCCTTTCTTATAGGTGCGACTTCGCCATTACAGTGAGACTTGTCGTCGCGCGGCACGGTCGAATCCTTCCACATGGTTCTCAAAGGAATAAAGAAAGAAAGTTCTATGAGATCCAAAGATGTCATTGAAAGATATTGAGCAGCTTCGGTAATATGACTATAGTGATGGCTACTTGGTTGGTACCAGTGTGGCATAGTAGTTCCGCATGTTGTCAGTGGTTTAGCCGTATCGAAGCAATCGAACCCTGCTTCCCCTCTGTGTTTTGAAGGTGGTGGAAAGATAAATGCACTGACATAACCATAGACGGAGCACCATAATTCACTGTTAAAAAACGATATATATATATATATATATAACGTTCATTTATTTAATTTATTATCCTTATCCTTTTATCCTTTATCCTTTTTTATTTAATTATTCGTTCGTTCATGTCAAGAATACATTGTGAAGTCGGATACCTGACATATTCGCCGGTGATTGATTAACGCCTTATCCTTTATCTTTCATGCTTTATCAGTGCTGCGATTATGATATTATCACTATCATCATCTTCATTCATATGGTTAGCATCATTTTTACATGCTATTCATGTGAGATGGTTTACCTGCTATTGGCTCAAAAGAGGAGAGCTCATCAAAAGCGCGAAAGCGGCGAAAAACAATAAGACATGGTCGAAAGAACAGAACAGCTGGAAATACGAGGTATGTTGTCTATTCTACAACTTATTCTTGATATTTTAACACGACGACCTGCTTGGGCACTATAGCAGTTAAAGTTGAAAGTCGAAACGTCAACTTGACGTTGTGAGCAAGCAATGAGGCTGAACGTATATCGCAGCAAGCAATTTGTTGGCGTGGTCAGTGAAATATCGTCCTACTTCTTTATACAGAATACCAGTGAAAGCCTCAGCAAAATCCCAAATCCTATAGGTAAGGTAATCTGATGATCAAGGAGATTTCGCTTCCGTGAGCTGATAGGGTTTTTAAAATCCTTAGTACAGACAGCAGCCAGTGCAAGTGGATTAGTGGATAAAATGTCACGGCGCAATTAGGTTTCACCAGGAAAAAATTGACTTCTAGGACTGGCTACTTTTAATCGCGCACGTGAACGAAAACTCGAATACTTTATCTATATCCAAAAGACTGTGCCGAAAGGTTTCAAGGTAAGTATAAACTAGCCACCTTCTCTCACCCTAAGGCAGTAACCATTAATGATATTAGTAAATCATTGTACCATCATACCATGCCATTAATGACACAGTATGCCAATAATACCATTACAGTATACCATTAATGATATTATTAAATCAAAACTTTGTATTGAAATTTTTCTAAATCGAAATTAGAATAAGCTTTCACATTTGGGGAAGAAGATCCCGTACTGAAGTGAGTACATTTTTATCAAAATTTCGTGGTTTTAAAATCATACCTTTACATATTGCTTTTGTTGAGGATCAAACAACATGCAAGGAAGTCAAAATTTGGCTATTATCACTCGAAAATCTCATGTACGTAAAACGTGAAGAATCTCCATACTTTTGCCATTTCCCCACTCAATCATTTTTCACTGAATGCGGTGGTCACTATTCCCTGATTCTTGCTGAGTTTTCAGGCAAAAAATTTTATAAAGCATACACCTAGAACAGGAGTTAAGAGCCTCATCGTTGGGTTCAAATCTATGGAACGAGCTAATGATCTTAAACTGATGATAAAATTTGTGGCTGAGATATCTAACGAAAGAAATAGATACAAGCTATCAAAGGTGTTCTCAATCACAATCGAGTTTGCTCATGTCGTGTAAGGTATAGAATAAATGAATAGCTTTGCTTTGGCATGCTCGAGAAGAGAGTTCAATGGAGACGCTGGAAGTCCAGTGTTCAAAGAGTTGACGCACTTTACACACTCTTTGGACCTTTGACTTGACTCTACCTTAAGCCACGTCCCATTCCTCTGAGGATGCTGTTTTGGTGAGACACTTGTCTGGGAGAATATTCTTGAATCTACAATTACTGATTAGCGCTTTAAAAGATCTTGGAGCGCTCTAGTACGGCTATAGCAGGGCAGCAAAAAGAATCAACTGGGCCAGTATTTGATGGAATTCAAGAACAACATATGCCCCTCTTCTTGCTGCGGCCCAGCATA